GACTCCATGTAAATATAAACTGTTGGTTACTGTAACTGCGTGTTAATACAAACCGTTGACTACAGTAGCAGCAAGTTAATGAAAACCGTTAACTACAGTGACTCCATGTAAATATAAACTGTTGGTTACTGTAACTGCGTGTTAATACAAACCGTTGACTACAGTGGCAGTAAGTTAATAAAAACTGTTTTCTACAGTTATACCAAGTTAGTAAAAACTGTTGACTATAGTAAGACCATGTTAATACAAACTGTTGACTACAGTGGTACCATGTTAATACAAACTGTTGACTGTAGTAGCAGCAGGTTAATACAAACTGTTGATTACAGTGACACTAGGCAGGTTAATCCAAACTGTTGACTGTAGTGGTAGCAGGTTAATCCAAACTGTTGACTGTAGTGGTAGCAGGTTAATACAAACTGTTGACTGTAGTGGCAGCAGGTTAATACAAACTGTTGATTACAGTGACACTAGGCAGGTTAATCCAAACTGTTGACTGCAGTGGTAGCAGGTTAATACAAACTGTTGACTGTAGTGGCAGCAGGTTAATACAAACTGTTGACTGCAGTGGCAGTAGGTTAGTGCATATTTTGTTGCTGAATACAACACATTGTAATTTATTGTTTTACTCAATCAGAAAGAGAGTAATGAATTTGTGATCAAACAAAGACGAGATCTTAGGTTACAATCCCTTGTATTACTATATTGAATCAATGACAGATGGTTAGATAAAAAAACTTGTAAAATGTCTTCGGAAGAAAATGTATTAGAGTAGAGTCAGTACGAATTACACATTGTGAAAGTTTTTCAGGAGGCGTTGGATATAAACAACAAAAAATCCACAGAGCAGGGCGTCAGTACGAATTACACATTGTGAAAGTTTTTTAGGATACGTTGGACATAAACAAAAAATACATAGAGCAGGGCGTCCGTACGAATTACACATTGTGAAAGTTTTTTAGGAGGCGTTGGACATAAACAAAAAGCAAATACATAGAGCAGGGCGTCAGTACGAATTACACATTGTGAAAGTTTTTCAGGAGGCGTTGGAAATAAACAAAAAAAAATCCACAGAGCAGGGCGTCAGTACGAATTACACATTGTGAACGTTTTTCAGGAAGTGTTTTGGACATAAACAACGAAAAAAAATCAAGTGCAAGGTATTTGAGTATTGTATGTTTTGTTTTTATTCTGTCAGGAGGAAGGAGCCTAATGTCCACTCGGCCTTTTGGTTTTAGTTTTGTTTTGTAATAGGGAACAATATTTGCCGTTTAAAAGTATTATACTTCGCCAAAAATTAAAATCGAAAGCGTAACGGCAGATTCTTAATAAATATCCGAATTACGATGGAGTAACTTACACTGCGTAATGGCGTTTATATCTATTTCTATGAAAAGTATACTTTCCACACGATAAATCTATTCACAAATATATTCCTTGTCTTCATTTGATAGCTTAATAATCCTTCCTTTTTCATCCCTTTTCTTCATCTCATAGCTTCATAATGCTTTCTTTTCTTCCCCTGTCTGTTCTCATCTCTGTAATTCTTCGTTTTCTCATCAATTATATTCCGTTGATAAGTCAGTAATCCTTCTTCTCATCAATTATATTCAGTTGATAAGTCAGTAATCCTTCTTCTCATCACTTATATTCAGTTGATAAGTCAATAATAATTCTTATCATCACTTATATTCAGTTGATAAATCAGTAATCCTTCTTCTCATCACTTATATTCAGTTGATAAGTCACTAATCCTTCTTCTCATCACTTATATTCAGTTGATAAGTCACTAATCCTTCTTCTCATCACTTATATTCAGTTGATAAGTCAGTAATCCTTCTTTCTTCTTTATGTTTTCTTAGGCGAATGTTTCCCGGTTTCAAGGTCCGAGTGTCCGGCCTGGACAAAAAGGCTAAATACATTCTTCTTATGGACATCGTAGCAGCTGACGATTGTAGATACAAGTTCCATAACAGCCGATGGATGGTGGCCGGCAAAGCTGATCCCGAGATGCCCAAACGAATGTACATTCATCCAGACTCTCCAAGCACGGGGGAACAGTGGATGCAGAAGGTGGTGTCCTTCCACAAACTGAAGCTGACCAACAACATTTCGGACAAACACGGCTTTGTAGGTGGAATATTATATTAGATAGACAGAACGGTTTAAAAGCTCCCATATGTCATATATGTTCTACACGATAATTTATCTTTGCTTTTTTGTTTGTTTCTTTGTTGTTAAGCGCCAAAGTTCACAATGGGCTATCTGTGCTGTGCCCGCCACGGGTATCGAAACCCGGTTGTTCAGTGTTATAAACCTTCGCTAAGCCACTGGAGTTTTCTCTCTGTGATATCAAAACTATAATTACATTAACCAGTCGGTATTTTTATTTTGTAGTAGTAGTAGTAGTTTGAATTGGAATTTCGTTGTCCAGAGAAAACTAACCCACATGACTAAATGAAGCTTGACTAGTCTTGTTTTTGAGTCTGTGTAAAGAGCGAATGTATTTTTTTTCAAAAGATTATGAGAATTATAAAACCACTTCTAGCTCTGGTTGCTGAACTGGTCAGTAGATCCTGAAAGTTGCCTCAGGATAATCGTAGTATCATAACACTTAAGCCTAACGATTTCTAAAAATTATAAGGTTGAGTGTACTTGAGCTCAGAACGACTTACAGACTGTGAAATTACTTTTAAATAACACTGCCAAATATAGAAATAGCGATTTTATAAAATTATTGATTTTTTTTAATGACTCAAACAATTTTCTTTTTTTTGGGGGGGGGGGTTGTGAGGCCTAACAGACTTTCGATCTTCGTAAGGTAAATTACGGTTACTGCTTGCATAAAATGTAACTCAAACAATTCAAGGCAGTTTTAAGTCACACGAGGTACGTCCAGCAGCCGTCCATGGAAGGAGGTAACTACTGTAACAACTAGTCTAATTACCTGTCTCTAGAAGTAATAACGTCGTATTGTGGCATCCGATCTGCTTAAGATTGCTTACTTTCTTCATATTTCATTACATAACTATTACTGTCACATTTCAGTGAATTTCTATTAGCAAATTCCGTTGATCTCCTTCTACTTTTAAATGTTTATTACACCACCAAATAAACAGCCGGTGTAATAGTGGTGTAATATTTTCTCGGTCCATTGGTGTAGCATTTAGATAGCACATTGTTGAGCTCGAGATTATTATAAACTCGCCCACAGTCTTCACCATTGTCCCTATTTGGGAATCGCATAATGCGCATGCTCAGTACGTTGATGGCGCCGATACCGTCTGTCGTCGACCCGAGAGATGAATCGGGTGTCAGTACAAGTTTTCAAAAACAAATATAGCGTTGTCACAGACGTAGTCAGTATCTTTTTGGAATTGTTAGCGTTCGTTTTCTCGTGTTAGGCGGGGAGTTCTGTGGTAATGTCATGCCTTAAGAAATATTTCACCGAAATTTGAACGTGTTGAAAACAGAATCGTTTTCGTCGTGTTTCTTCTGTAATGGGCTTGACTAGTGGACCCGCTGAGACTTAGCCGAGATAATTTCATCTTATAATTGTTTGTAACTCAGGTGCTCAAACTTCCCATCCCCTGTTTATTTATACTTTACGTTTATGATGCACAGATACGTTGGTGCTTAGATAACTTGCTTTTAAACGGTGGTGTCTGACGCATCACAGACCGTCTTTGTACTCCAAGTATTGCCCTAACATTTAATACTAACATTATTGATTATTACTGTAATGTTCTGAAAATAGCTCCTAACGATAGTAAATAATACAGCGTAGCTGTTTTCCTGGTTGGAGAGTATTCTCACATTGCTAAGAAAACTATTTAACCATTATTGTTATTAAAGAATTATTATAGAAAAAGTATTTATACTGATGACGAAACAACAAGAACAGTGTGTGTGTTAGTTATTACTCAAGAGCTTATGTTTCTTGTTAAGCACAAAGCTACACAATGGGCTATCTGTTCTGTTTCCACCACGGGTATCGAAACCCAATTTCTAGTGTCGTAAGCCGTCAGGCTTACCGTTGAGCCACTGGGGGCTAGTAAGTAGCTTTTGTTTGTTGTTAAGCTCAAAACTACACAATGGGCTATCTGTTCTGTTTCCACCACGGGTATCGAAACCCAATTTCTAGTGTCGTAAGCCGTCAGGCTTACCGTTGAGCCACTGGGGACTAGTAAGTAGCTTTTGTTTGTTGTTAAGCTCAAAACTACACAATGGGCTATCTGTTCTGTTTCCACCACG